TGCAAGCGATGTGGTGTAAGCAGAGTGGTGCAGGCGGGGGTACAATCATGCAAACTGGACAGATGGGACGGGCTGGCCCTCGCCACTTTTCCAGCTTTCCTGCGCACAGACCCCCGACGTCGTACTTTTCCACACCGTGGACCCCCAAGTGTCTCCAGTTCGTCCCAGGGACCGGCGGGGGCCCCGATGGGGCCGAACATGGCACAAGACCCTTCCTTAGCTATCTTGTCCACGACGCCAGGGAGGTCTGGGCACGTTGGAGAGAACAAACAACATGAATAAGATCTTTAGGCGGTCCCCGCAGAGAACTTGGATGGGCGCTGGAGGTGCCCGCCAAGGGGGCCCAGCGCCGATCCAAGAGATCCGAGCGGACCCTGGGAAAGCATTCATGCGGGTGTTCTCAAGTCTCCTGTGTTCTGCGTCCTGGTTTTCAATCTGCAGCGCCACGCTCCACCTCCCTCTCCTTCTTCTCCTCTTCCTCCTCCTCCTCCTCGTCCGCCTCCTTCTTGATCTGCCTTCCGCATGTCCGTGTCGGCACACCCCTCAAAGGCATCGTGCCCCCATGGGGAGCTCCACCGAAGGCCCCAGTGACAGGGTGGGCATGATAATTCGGGCCCATTTCTGCACACTCCTCTCACGCTTCGTAATCCAATAGGAAGCTCCACCGGAGGCCCCAGGGATCTTAGGGTGACACGGATCCATTGTGGCGCACTCCTTGCACGCTTCGTAGTCCCATAGCGAGCTCCGCCGAAGGCCCCAGTGGCAGGGTACGCATGGTGACTCAAGTCCACTGTGGCGCACCCTTCGCTCGTCTCGTAGCACAATGAGGGAACCCACCGAAGGTCCCAGTGGCAGGGTTCCCATGGTTACTCAGGTCCATTTTGAACATCCGCACGCGCTTCGCGGCCCCAGATGGAGCTCCGCAGAGGGTCCCAGTGGCAGGGTCCGCATGGCGACTCAGGCCCATTCCCGCACACCCCTCACACGGTCCGTGGCCACATAGGGAGCTCCACCTAAGGCCAAAGGGGCAAGATCTGCATGGTGACTCGAGTCCATTTCGGCAGACCCCTGACATGTTTCATAGCCCCATAGGGAGCTCCACCGAAGGCCCCAGCAGCAAAGTTCGCATGATGACTCGGGTCAATTTTGGCGCAGCCCTCACACGGTCCGTGGCCCCATGAGGAGTTCGGTTCGCATGATGTCTCGGGTAACTTTAGGGCCCCCCTCACACGTTTCGTGGCCCACTGGGGAGCTTCACCGAATGCCCCAGTGGCTGCGCACACATGGCGTCGCCTCGCCCAATGTGCTTCACCCCGCTCACATTCCGCGAAGCGTTCAGGGGGGCAAGGGACTCCCTCAGTGTGCTCTTTTGTTTGCCACGGTCTTGTTCGTAGCCGCCACTCGTAGACGCAGAGTTGGGTTCTTCGCCAGATTGAACGTTCCCAAGTATCATGTCGTGTAGGGTCTCTCCCCCCTCCCTCGGGTAAAGGCACTGTTTCTCAAAGCGCTGCTGGCATCGGCACCCGACAGCAGGCCATAGAGGGTGCGTGCGGACAAACTGCCGCCCAAACGCGCGAAACTTGAACCAGACCCTTTATACGGCATCATTGTGCGCAGACGTGTTCACACGCGCAACGTGCTCGCAAGACGTCCTCCTCCTCCTCCTCCTCCTCCCCCTCCTCCTCCTCCTCCTCCTCCTCCTCTCTCCCTTTCCTCCTCCTCCCTCCCCCTCCTCCTCCTCTCTCCCTTTCCCTCCTCCTCCTCCTCCTCCTCCTCCCACCTCCCCCTGCTCCTCCTCCTCCTCCTCCTCCTCCTCCTCCTCCTCCTCCTCCTCCTCCCTCGCTCCTCCTCCTCCTCCCTCCCCGAGGCCTCCGACGACAACCACGTGCGCCTCCCGGGGCAGCCCCGCGCTGCCGCGGGCGCCGGCGGGCACCCGGGGGCGCGGGAGACGGCCGGCGGCGGCGCCGCGCAGCATCGGGGCGCGCGGCCTGCGGGCTCCGCCCCTGATGGGGGGGGGCGGGCTGGCTGGGCGCGGAGTGCAGTCGAGCCGTATCAGAGGGATGCGCGGAAATCAAAGCAGAACGCCATAAACATCCGCGCGATGGGCAATCGAAGCTGGCGTTGGCGCTCCGCGCGATGGGCCGTAAGATTAGCGTATCGGAAATCGAAGTTGGCGCTCCGCGCGGACTTCTCGGATCTGCGCTGGGCCCCCTCACTGTCGCGCGGAGCGCGCCGGGGGCGGAGCTGGAGGCGCCGCCGGGGGGCCCCCAGCGCGGATCCAAGAAATCCGCGCGGAGCGCCAGAAGTTTGTGTGTATGGCATTTTTGCTTCTTCGAGGTAAGGATGCAAGGGCCTTGGAGGCCCATGGGAACGTCTTCGGACGAGGCTGGCCAGCGAACGTCGTTATAAGGATGGGCCGAAGCGGCATGGATGCAAGGGTAGCCTTGGGAGGGCTGCCAATCCTCACTGTGGGGGTTGACTGCACATGGGGGGGCGATACGTGAGGGGGGGGAAGGAAGGTGCCCACTTCGGACCCTCAAGGCCCCTCTTGGGGCCCTGAAGGGCCACTTTGCCGCAGCCCTCGCTGTCCTCCTTCCCCCCCATTAACGCCCCCCCCACGACGCGCACCCCAAGGCGGGAGCAGGAGGGGGGCTGCAGCAAAGGAGGGGCAGGGGGGGAGGGAATGGGGGAGGCGGCGGCGATTTGGAGCGGGAGGAGGAGGAGGAGGAGGAGGAGGAGGAGGAGGAGGAGGAGGAGGAGGAGGAGGATGATGGGGAGGGGGAGGAGCAGGAGGTGGCCGGCCGCGCCCCCCAACGACGCGAACCCCAAGACGGGGCCGCGGCCCCGCCGCCGGTGGAGCCCTCGCGCTCTCGCGCCCTCGCGCCGCACGCCGCCGATCCTGCTCCAGACCGCCCCACGCCTCGCGCTGCGGGCAATCAGGAGGGCCGATGGTTGACACCGACACCACCCCCGCCCGGCAGCGCCCTGCATCCGCGCCCACCGTCCGACTCCTCATCCCTCCTTCTCCTCCTCCTCGGCCTCCTCCTCCTCTTCCTCCTCCTCCTCCTCCTCCCTCCCCTCCTCCTCCTCGCCTCCCTCCTCCTTCCCTGCCCTCCTCCCTCTCCCCTCCTCCTCCTCTTCCTCCTCCTCCTCCTCCTGTCCTCCCCCATCCTGCTCCTCCCCCTCCCTATCCTCCTCCACCTCCTCCTCCTCCTCCTCCTCCTCCTCCTCCTCCTTCTCCTGCTCCAAATCGCCGCCTCCTCCCCCAGTCCCCCACCCCCCTGCCCCTCCTGTGCTACAGCCCCCCTCCTGCTCCCACTGCCTTCTGGCACCGCGGCTTGGGCGAACGGAGACCGAAGCGTCCGCTACTGTTTCTCGCTCTCGGTCGGCAGCGCTGGCGCGCCACTCGCTGTCCTCCGGCAGGCCCAGCTCGACGCCCGCGCGCAATCTGCCACCGTGCCTTGGCACGTTGAGGCCTGGAGAAATACCAAATGCTGTCTGGCAGAGCTTGTAAGGGGCTCCCCACCTTCCATCTCACACAGGGTTGACTGCATCACCCCCACTCCTGGGGCTCCCTGGGCGGCCAAGCCGCATCCGTGGCACCCGCAAGGCGTCCGAACGCCCAAGATGGCCTCCAAGGCGGACCTGGCGGGCCACCAAGGCTGCCAAGATAGAAGCCTTCATGACGGCCTAAGATGGCTCAGTATGGCTTCAAGACGGCACCAACGGCCTTCAAGATGGCCCAGGAGAGTTCCAACAGAAACTCGAGCCCAAATCATGGAGTGTCGCAATTTGTTCGCGGATCTATACATTTTCGCCGTTTCGACTTTTCGTCGGCTCAAGACAGCCCAAGAAGCCTCCAACGTGGTCTCAATACAGGCCAGGAGGGCACCAAGATGGCCCCCAAACGGCCCATAATGACCCAAGGAGACCTCAAGTCGGCCACAGAAGGCTCTCAGACAGCTCTCAAGGTCCCTAAGAGAGCCCCAAGATGACCTAGAGAGCCCTCCAAGATGGATCATGCAAGCGCCCATACGGCCCAAGAGCGCCCTCAGGCAGCCCAAGGAGCCTAAGAGCCCCCGAGAAGCCACAAAGGCGCTGCAAAGAGGCCCCAAGAGGCTCCGGGTAACCCCTCAAGAAATCCGCAGAAACTTCAAGAGGCCCGGAATGCCACACATCTTCGCAATCATCACTCCCTCTCCCCTTCCCCATCCCGGCGCCCGTTCAACATCGCCAGCCCTCTATTCTAAATCTACCCTTCGGCTTCCGTCTTGTCTCCTACTTCCACCCTCCCTCCTCAACCTTCCCTCATCCCTCCTCCAATATCCCTGTTTCATCGTTGATGTTCCCACCTCTGGCCGCTATGCCTCGTCCCGAATCTGTCCTTCCATGTTTCCCTCCAACCTGACCTCCTACACCATCATGAATCTCGTTAATCCCCCTCACTATCCCCCATATCACTTCCTGCTGCTCCTCCTCCTCCTCCTCCTCCTCCTCCTCCTCCTCCTCCTCCTCCTCCTCCTCCTCCTCTTTCATCCTCACCTGTCGACCGCTGCACGGTATGCTCTGCATAGCTGTTGACCCACTCGGGAACGGGTCGTCCACTGCAAGCCCGGCGCCAAAATCTCTCACATCGAAGCAGACCTGTGTTATGGACGTTTGCGAGTAGGAACCCTGCTAGTGAAGGAGCGCGCTCGGTGGTTCTGAGAAGAACCTGAGTTTGGCTTCGTCGAAGCTTTCGATATGCCTCTCAAGAGGCTGCAGGCCTTCTGAGCCTTCTGAGCAGGCCCGCCCACTCTGCACTCCCCCCTAGGGCGCGCCGCCGCCATTCTGATGGTGTGATTTTCCACTACCACTACCATAGGCAGGAGAGGTAGGAGGAGAAGGATGTCGAGGAGGACGAGGAGGAGGAGGAGGACCTCCCCATCCTTCCCCCCGTCCTACCTGGGGTAGTGGTGGTGGAAAGTTGGCCCACCAACTCTCCCTCTCGGATGGCGGGCCTCGGCTCGGGCATGCCCGGGATCGACACGTCGCCGCTGTTGACGAGGCGGCACTCGAAGATCGTCTCGATGTACCTCCCCCGGCGTCCGTCCCCGAACAGACAGGCAGGGAGCGTCCCCCCCTCAGCTCCTCCAAGAAGGCCAGATAACCCAAAGATGGAGGCCTCCAAGTAGGGGACCCGGAAGGGCTCCGAGAGGGCGCCGACTACCCCCAGGAACGCCCCGAGGGCGTCCCAGGAGGTCTCCCGCAAACGGCGTGTCGGTCTCCGACGGAGGGGAGCGGGGGGGGGTTCGTCAACTGATGGCCTCAAGGATGCCTCCAAGACTCCGGAGAGGCACCCAATAGAGCCCCGAGATGGCGCCACAGAGTCCAGAAAGAGCTCCAGCGAGCCCCAAAGATAGCTCGGGAGCCCTCTGAACATCATCACGCAAAGAGCTCTGGAAATGCATTGGCCCTCTGGAGCCCGTGCGGGACAGCAAGAATCGGCGGTGGCCAAACCTCCCTTTAGTAGACCTTGTGAAAACAGCCTGGGACCGAAACCGACGGACCTGGACCCGCAAAAATGACGGCCGCGACGCCCTCTCGCGAACCGAATCCAGCCAATTCCTTAATCGACGTGTCAGGGTAGGAGGTCTGTTTACCCCCGAAAGAAGCAAGAACACCTGGGAATCTAGAAACTGTTCTTGATCAGCGGCGAGGTGGGTCCAGCAAGCCGTCGCGCCAACGGCGGAGCGCGCTCGTCCCCCTCCTTCTCCTTCTCCTCCTCCTCCTCCTCCTCCTCCTCCTGCTCCTCCTCCTCGTCGTCATCATCCTCCTCCTCCCTTCTCCTCCTCCTCCCTGATCCCTCCTCGCTCCTCTTACTCCCTCCTCCCTTCCTCCCTCCCTCCCTCCCACCCTCCCTCCCTCCTCCTCCCTCCT